ATACTAATCAGAATCATGATCAGGTTGCTGAAGTGGCCAGATAGAGTCTTGGTGACACCTGAGAATAATTGGAGAGAGGGGGTGAGGAAGAAGTAGGGATCATGGGGGTAGGGCTGGCAGATCGGAGGGTTGGAGGGCTGAATGGAGGTGTGAAGAGGTGATGCCACAGCAGATTGGAGGGGTGGTAGATTGGAGGGCTGCCACGATGGAGGGTGAGAGGGTCAGTGGATGGGAGGAGTGTGAGAGGGGCGGTGGATGGGAGGCTGTGGAGGTGGGCGAATGTGGTGGAGAGGTCCCATGACCATGGGAGGGAACAAGTGGTGGGATCATTGGGAGAGGTTGGATGGGAGGGGAGGAGAGGTGGCAGGATGATGGGGAGAGGTGGGGAAATGCGAACAGCGTACGGACAGGTCGCAAAATGGCATGGGGAGAAGTGGCGAAATCGGGAGGATCACGTACGGTAGGTGGCAATCTGGAAAGGGTTTGGGGAGTAGTGGCAGGATGGGGAAGAGGCGGCACAAGGTGGTGGGATAATGGGGATAAGGTGGTCGATGGGAGGGGGCAGAGGTGGCACCTGGATGGGGAAGAGGCGGCGAAAGGCTGGGGCCAGTTGGGGGATGGCATGAGGACAAGTGGCAGGATCGTGGGGGAAAGCAGGTGAATTGGTCATGGAAGGTGCCAAGATGATGGAGGCAAGGTGGGAGGTAGAACAGGAGAGAGGCGATACAAGACTGAGGGGAAAGCGGCGTGATGGCCGAGGGGACGTGGGAATGAGTGATGGTAGGGGAAAGAGGGTGTGGATTGGATGGGGGCAGATAGCAAGATGATGTGGGCAAGGTGGTGGATGGGAGGGGCGAGAGGCGGCACAAAGGTGGTGGTGAGGGGGCAGGATGGCATAGGGGACACATGGAGGATGATGCGGTGAGAAGTGGTGGGATGGTCAGGGAGAGGAGGGGGTTGGGTTAGGGGAGAAGGGGCGATGATAGGAGCAAGTTGGCAGATGGGAGGGGAGAGAGGTGGTGCAAGGCCAGGGAGCAGGGGGGAGGGGGAAGGGGGCAGGATGGCTCGAGGGACAGGTGGAGGATGGTGCGGGGAGAAGTGGTGACATGGTGGGGAAGTGGGCGGATTGGGTGGGTGCAGGTCATGGGATGATGGGCAACGTGGCACTTGGGAGGCGGGAGAGGTGGCACAAGGTGTGATAGTGGACGAGGAGGGGTGTGATGGCAGGAGGCACAATGGAAGAAGGGGGGAGGCTCAATGGGCAATGGCAAGAGGTGGCCTGATTGGGGATGGGGAGACGCGCGATGGGGAAGGTGGAATGGGGGAGGCCAAAAGGGGAGACACAACACGGGGTAGGTGGGAGGCGTGATAGGGGATCAAGGAATGCGCAATGGGGAATGGGGGGAAGGTTTGATGTTAGATGGGAATGCATGGTGAGGGAGGTGAAAGATGGGACGTGGCATGTGGAAAGCTATCTCTCTCTCTCTCTCTCTCTCTCTCTCTCTCTCTCTCTCTCTCTCTCTGTGCATGTGTGCCGATGCCAGGCAGATTGGAAGTGGACATGGAGAAATGAGAATAAGGAGAAGAATGAGGATGAAGAAGAAAGACCAGTGAAGACGAACACTACGAATACTCACCTTGTCTTATTCGTGGCAGGCTATAAGGACGATGGCCGTGGTAGGAGGCGAACAGAGTCGGACCACTGGCACCAAGGCGCAGGAGCACAATGGAATGATGACAACACCGACGTAACATTGGGGACCACCTCCACAAACCACGTCCCATGCGGTGCAAACTTGGGGGGATCGGGGTTTGAACCTGAATGCCCCCCCAAACAAGGATGGATCTGGGCCGCTGATCTTTGGGCCTGGCGGTCTCCAGTTCGGCCCAGCATTGTTTCTGGCATGCTTCCTGCTATAGAAACCCGCTAGTATCAACTCCCCCCCAAGCTGGGCCGCACAGCTGCTACCACAGTTGTAAATTTTGAAACCAAAAATATATATCGTTCACCAGCAAGAGGTGGTTATTGTTGGTATTCATGTCTGAATAGTATTATCTTTGTGGTTTGAGTTTGCTAGGGAGATGATTCCCGACCAGTGTCAGCATGACACGTGCTCAAAGTGCCATGTCCAACTGTACCCTTCGCTGCATTGACATTTTGTCTCATGATATGTTTCGTAACAATAAGAAACAAACCTAGACAGTGGGAGAAGTCTGCAACGACCTCAGTGCCTACAAAGAATTCGCAGGGACCATTGTGTGCCCCCAGGACTCTTAGGGAGGATCCTTCGGGAGCGTACTACTGTTCACCCCTTTCCGCTCGAAAACACCCGCTCAGCATGCTCAGATTGGGGCACCCAGGCTAAGTTTTCGTGCCATGGCTACAATGCTCAGCCCAGCGATGTAGTGCAGGGGTTGGAGCAGTCGTACACACACACACACACAGAGAGAGAGAGAGAGAGAGAGAGAGAGAGAGAGAGAGAGAGAGAGAGAGAGAGAGAGAGAGAGAGAGAGAGA